GGAACAACTGGTTCGTCTGGCTTGGCAGTAGGTTCAACTTCTGGAACTGGTTTGTCTGGTTTAGCAGTGGGCTCAACTTCAGGAACAACTGGTTTGTCTGGTTTGGCAGTGGGCGTAACTTCAGGAACAACTGGTTTGGCTGTGGGTTCATCTTCAGGAACAACTGGTTTGTCTGTTGGTTCAACTTCAGGAACAACTGGTTTGTCTGGCTTGGCAGTTGGTTCTACCTCTGGAACAACTGGTTTGTCTGTGGGTTCAACTTCTGGACTAACTGGTTTGTCTGTTGGTTCAACTTCAGGAACAACTGGTTTGTCTGTTGGTTCAACTTCTGGAACAACTGGTTTGTCTGTGGGTTCAACTTCTGGAACAACTGTCCTCTCTGGTGTAGCAGTTGGCTCAATTTCTGTAACTACTGGTTCATCTGATTTTGCAATTTCCTCTGGGGCGATTGGTATGTCTGGTATAGCAGTGGGTTGAACTTCTGGAACAATTGGTTTGTCTGGTTTAGCAGTGGATTCAACTTCTGGAACAACTGGTTTGTCTGGTTTAGCTGTGGGTTCAATGTCTGGAACAACTGGTTTGTCGGGTTTGGCAGTGGGTTCAATTTCTGGAACAACTGGTTTCTCTGGCTTGGCAGTGGGTTCAGCTTCTGGAACAACTGGTTTGGCAGTGGTTTCTACTTCAGGAACAACTGGTTTGTCAGTGGGTTTAACTTCTGGAACAACTGGTTTGTCTGGCTTAGCTGTGGGTTCAACTTCTGGAACAACTGGTTTGTCTGGCTTGGCAGTAGGTTCAACTTCTGGAACAACTGGTTTGTCAGGTTTGGCAGTGGGTTCAACTTCTGGAACAACTGGTTTGTCTGGCTTAGCTGTGGGTTCAACTTCTGGAACAACTGGTTTGTCTGGCTTAGCTGTGGGTTCAACTTCTGGAACAACTGGTTTGTCTGGCTTAGCTGTGGGTTCAACTTCTGGAACAACTGGTTTGTCGGGTTTGGCAGTGGGTTCAACTTCTGGAACAACTGGTTTGTCGGGTTT